GGACTCAGCTTGCATACAGCCCAATCCCTGTCTAATCACAACGTGGGTAGACAGACCAGGGATCAGTGTAGTTACCCTGGTAACCAGGCGTTGGAAGCGGGTTGGGAACAACGAGGCTGGTATTCATCTAGCCAAAGGGTTAGAACGTCACACTTGGAGCAGCGAGGAGCGAATAGCTGGCGTCGCGAACGGGATCGAACGACACAGTCGACGCTGCGACCAGGGGGGACGACGTCACATTGTATTTAAAATCAGGAAGAAACTATTGAAATATCTAGTTCAAACAATGTGGAAAGAAGCCTTAGAAAATATAACACACAGAGGATATAGTGAAGTAAAAAAAAAATGAATAGTTGAGTAAATGACGTGTTTATGGTGGAAGTGGAACTTGGACTATACTGGACAATAATTGCTCAAAACTTCGAATGAGATAATTCTATGGAAGTGTATAATGCCCTGCAGCAACATGGCACCTTAAATAAGAAGTAGATATCTAAAAAGATATAATTTTATATTCTCCACCATCATATTTTAATGTCCAGTTTCATCAACAGATGGAGGAATAGATCAAAGCGAGAGAAAAATGTCCCCAATGACTCAACAGATATCGATCCAAAGGAAAATCAAGCCTTTTTTTTTTATCCGATAGAAGGCTGTATGTAAATCTAGATTTTATCAGTTTCGATTCGGCAATGCAGGAAATGCCAGCTCCCGTAAGAGCAAACATTTTTTACCAAAAATTGTAACCTCTGTCACGTTTTTTAACAGATAAATTATTTTGCTAAAAAGACGATTTTTTTTTTTAAAGATTTCCTGTCGAAACTCTATTTCCGTTAGGAGTAGAACCAAAATTTGTGTCATAGAAATTGCAAGTTGCGCATCAGTTGAAAATCCTGAAATTGAATATGAAAGAACAGGAAATGTGAATAAACACTTCAGATTGGTTTATCAAGTTCACGGAAAATCATACATTGCATACATAGGCCTAATTTGCAGTTTAGTTGGGTTAGGAACAAGCTATATGTATGTAGCACTTCGAAAGTATTAGGAACTATTGACAGGTAGTGGCATATTAGGGTAATTTCCATGAACGCGAAAGTCAGTTCTTGTGATATGGAAAACTGAAGTCATTTCTTATTTTACGTGTAGAATTAAATAGTGATCGCCTGATTAGCAAAGAAATGACTTTAATATTTAAATTCATTTACCGTGTGCTAATCTTCCACTACATCTGAAACGGATGTGATATAGAGTTTAGGATCAATTAATGTTCATAAGAAAGGGCATAGATATCTATTTTATGATAAACAACACTCATCAGTGGATATGGATTTTTTTAAGAGTAGCTTAGATATGGCACAAGGTCGAAATTAAGGTCAGACAATGAGTATTGAACTCACTACTCAGTCGTAACTGATCTAATGAAAGAAGCTTGTTAACCATTACACTACGTCCAAGTGTCCTAAATGATTTCCTAAGCATACGTTAAAGGTGGCGAGAAAACGAAAGTATTGGGCACCCAATGTGAATGAAACTCACTAATTAGTCGTAATAAGATGTAGCGAGACAAGTTTGCTGATCATGATACCACTTCAATGTGTCCAATCCTCAGCGAATATGTGTCTTCCTTAAACTTTAAAATTACCTTATTTGAATCTCGAAAGCCATAAATATTCACATTCCGCATGTTCCAAGGAAGGCTTCAATGAGAACTTTATTGCTCTACTCTTTATAAAATCGAATATATGTTAATGGAAGAATGAGCCGTTTCCTCTTAAGGAAATATTTGTCATTCATTGACAGATTAGTCAGTGCTGATGTCGATTGAAATTTATGAAATCTTTATCTTAAAATAATTTTTCAGAAGAATAAATTTCTCTAGTTCAGTAGCTGTTGTCGCACTTGTCAGTATCGATAGCGGTTTCCTTTGAAGTAGTGTGGAAGGTCATTATATTGATTATGTCATTATTTTCTACCCGAATTACTTCTATTGAAAGTCATCGAGTTATATAGTTCTTGGTATTTGGTACAGTTCTTTGTTTGTAATTCCGTATCGCCTGGCGACATGTTCCAGGAAGTATGGTCTTCGGACGAATCTGCTCTCTATTAATTACATAAGACAGTTCTTGCGATATAGAAGACTGATTTCATATTCTGCGTGTAGAATTAAATATTTATCGCCAGATTAGCAAAGAAATGACTTGAATATGCGAGTTCTTTTACTGTGTGGTGCCCTTCCGCCACATATGAAATCGATATGGTATGGATTGAAGATCAAATTAACTTATTAGAGAAGACATAGGTATCTCTTCTATAATAAAGAACACTCATCATTTGGTAAATTATTCGCCATATTTATTACAACGTTTCGGCCGTTGTACGCCCCGGCCTTCTTCAGGTGGCTGTAATGTCAAACTGAACCCTTTGTTTTTGCTCACTGGGGTAGACTTCTAATTCCACGTGCCATGTCAGTTGTCAGTTATCTCCTGTTAATTCCAAGTCGGTTGAAATTTATATTTCCTTAACTTTTGGTCCTGTCACTGGATCTAACCAATGCCTTTATCCACTGTGCCATGTGTCCTTGAGGACATCAGTGTATGAATTTATGGGTATTATAAACATAATTTTTCGCATCAATTTTGCCAGTGCTCATATTGCAATTTTTGCTGTTATCATTTCATGTTTTACCAGAGCTCATATTGCAATTTTTTGTTATTATCGCTTTTCTCTGGTACTCCTTATTACTGATTCCCATATTGTATTCATTTCTATGCTTGGTCGGCTCAGGAGATTTTTATGTTGTAGCATATGTGCTGATTCCTTACGTTTATGAATTTTCCATTGATGTTCTTTGTTTATGATGCCAACTTGATCCCACATAAGGTGGTGATTTCCCTTTTCTCTCCATATGTGGTCAGGCACGACTGAATTTCCACTTTCCTATGTGTTACAGCTTTCTGGTGTTCTTGAAGCCTTAACTTAAGTGGGCGGGCTGTCTTTCCGTTATATTCCCTTCCGCAGCATGAGTGAATATGGTGATTTTCTGGGTATGCTGATTATCACAGAGCGCATTCATGCGTCTTTTTAAAAATCACCATCGCAATCATCGCAGTGACAATAAGTTTGTCTTTGTAATTCCCTCCTGAGGATGATCGCAGATGAGATCGAAAGTACTTGGATAGAAAAAAAGCTACGGCGCCTTCCTCGGTGAATTTCATTTTAATATCAAGAAAACTGATTTGCAAAATGGAAAGGATTATTATAAAAAAAATAGACATATGTCTATATTATTCAATGAAACATATTTGAATGACGATATGCTGCCTAAATACACACACACACATATATTCAAGGTATATCAAAAATACTTTTATAAATTTTGGAGGTGGGTTCCTCGTACCAAAACAAAGACAAATGTCCGCGGTAGATGCTGTTAACTGTACGATCCCAGATACAATCTATAAACACCATAATTTGTCGTGCCACGTACCTTGTCTCAGCAACACGACGTTTAACAGGAGTAAAGGTTGAATGACTCATCTGCCTTAGGTCTAGAAACTCAATATGATACAGTAGCCTAGTCTTTATGACAACACAGCCGTGAATTTTCTTTAAACTTAATAACTCAAAAACGAAGTATTTGCAGACATATATATGTATGGACAGTTTTCCTCGTCTTGGTTCGAGAAACCCACGTCAAAATTTTGTAAATCTATTTTTGATATATGGATACGCATTGTCTTTTTTATATATACAGATTTTGTGAATATTTTACGCTGAAATATTCGATACTGCTTTGTCTACTGAGATTAGGCGACAGGAGTAGATAAAAAGCCTCTATAATTTCTTTCATTTTCACTTATCTGTTCTTATGTGAAAAAAAGCGATAAGAGAGGACATGATGCAGAGAATGTATAGTTTTCCCTCACTTAACATAGAAACCTCAACAATTGCGAATTATTAAATGAAAAGATACAAAAAACAATTATATATAAGATTCTAAGAAGAAATAAAAAAAAGATTCCATATATTATAACAGGTGAACATTTTAAAACGAATATTTCTTCAGATAAAGCTTAAACAATACTTCCACGATAGAAAATGCACGCAGAAACTATAATCTAGTATGTTTTACTCCCAAACCTATCACCTCGGAATAAACTGGCCACAATCTTAATAAAGCCTGTTTGCTCGTAGATAGACAAAAAACAAAGTGGTACTCCATGCCATATAAGAATTCGCAACGCTTTTATATCTTCATTTTGAAAGACCTTTCAAGTTTCCTATGAGTGGAATAGAAGACAATAAAGAATAATGTCAAACGTTATTAAAATTTTAAGAATATATGCTTTACATCCAGAAAGTATGTATCGGTTAGTTGTGTCTTGTTGTTATTCAGAAACTGTCAGAGTAGATAATATAATCTAAGAAAAGGTAGAAAGAAGTTAGTGCTATGAGATCTTATCTCGAATCGAAAGCTGATTAAGAACAATCTACCTCGTTTGATTGAATAAAGGGACTAAGAGTTCCGTTCCAGATTCCCACAAGATTTTACCAGAGACAACAGGCGACTGAAGAATGCCGGTGAGTAGAACGATTGAAACATCACGAGTATAAAAACCAGGGTGAGTACAAATAACTCAGTTTTTGATAATGACGAGTCTCCATCATAGCAGAATTTACTGGAATCAAATAATTATTCTAGCTCTAATTTGAATACGACAGTATGTAAGCGTTTATAATCATAGTAAGTTGAATCAAAAATTTCTAAGTCTTCTGGTAATAATCGCCTTAAGAAAGGTATAGATATATACCTTCTTCTTCATCTATAGGTTAAATATGAGCGTAGACTGGACTCCCACGATTTTGTTTGGAAGCTAGTCAAGAAGAACGGATGGAAGGACTTGGTGAAGCCAACCGCTTCATTATCTTTCCCTAGAAAAGGCCAAATCAGGAATCGCTCTTTGATGCTTACGTCCATACCACTTTCTCTTTGATGCTTACGTCCATACCACTTTCAAACACTAGGTCCCATATGATCACTGAAGTTAAGCAACGTTAAGCCTGGTCAATACCTAGATGGGTGACCACTTGGGAATATCAAATACTGTAAACTTGGTAAGAAAGGATGATAAGCTGTTGAAAACGAATTAATCAATACTTGTTGTTGATACAATATAATACAGCACAAATTGTCACATATTATTGAAGGAGATAGGTGCTGCGATCTCCTTAAATAAAAATGCGAAATATGCCTTCTAAAAGCTAAGCAAAGTATTAGGAAACAAAAACGATTCATTAAAAACAAAAATGCGTACTGAAATGTTACATAATATCAGTTCTCCTAGATGGCAGTGAATGCTGGACAATGTCCTTACAAATGGAGAATAATCTCTAAGAAAAAGAAATATGTTTCTACAGAAGGATGCTGAGAATACCATGGAGCGAACTTGCGAGCAACGACGAAGTTTTAAAGAAAATTGAAACAAAAATGATACTTATATTTAGCGTTAGAAAAATAGATGGAATTATTACAACATACCAAGGAATAAGGACTTGGGTAAATTGATATTCATAGGACATATTGAGGACGAGAGGGGCAAAGAATTTTTAAAATACAGAACTTGAATAAATGGATAGATGAACAGGTTTTAGGATAGATAAAAAAATAAAAAAATATTAAAAGTTTCAAAAGACAGGACATTGTGGAGAGCCATGATCACGATGTCCCAAAATGAAAGCAGACATAAGATTCAAATAAATTTAAAACTCATGAACATTTCACTGAGACATGTAAGAAAGACATACATATTCTTAACCTGGAAAAATTTGTCTTACAAGATATCATACTCCATGTAAAACTTATTCAATAATATTAGGTTATGTCGTGAACGTGGGCGTCATTTAAAATGTGTGCTAGCAAGAAAGAAGAGAATTGTTTCGTTAAGTTGGGCGAACAGAGAGACTGCGATTTATTCCCAAATTACCTGTCCTTTCCATCGTACGACAAACAGCAATGTTGTATCGCAAGTAAATGTGTTTTTAAATAATCCACTACGAATTCGGCAGCTGGCTTATCTATCATGATGGAGGCAGAGAGGTATTTTTCCAAACAGAATATTCTGGAAATTTACCGATAATGACCATGGAGTTGAGATAGATAGATAGATAGATAGATAGATAGATAGATAGATAGATTCAATCAGACGGAAACATATATATTCATATCCATATGTAAGAAGTAGATAGATTCAAGCAGACAGAAATATATACATATTGTTATGATGTTGATTTGGGGTTAGTAGAAACAAATGCCAAATAACACGTAACAATAAAAAGGGTTTTAATAGGTTGTAAAAAGGTACAGAAATAGCCTGAGTAGTCAATAACTAGCTCAGCTAAGAACTTTTCTGTCTATCTCTCTTCTTATTATTTAAAGTCTCTGTTCACAGACGCAGACAAGTTCATCTTCAAGAGGGGTGGTAGGTTTCCGACACAACGCATATTAATATCGATATATAAGAAGAGATAGATAGATAGAGAGAGAGAGATAGAGAGATAGACTCAATCAGACAGAAACATATTCATATCTATATATAAGAAGAGGCAGATAGATAGAATCAAGCAGACAGAAACACACACACACACACACACACACACATATATATATATATATATTAGAAGCGATAGATCGATTCAAGTAGAGAGAAACGTATATATGTATATGTATATCTATATATAAGAAAATATAGATAGATAGATTCAAGCATATACATATTAATATCGATATATCAGAAGATATAGATAGATATATATAGAGAGAGATAGTCTCAATCAGACAGAAACATATATATATTCATATATAAGAAGAGGCAGATAGAGTGAAGGAGACAGAAACATATATATATTCATATCTATATATTAGAAGAGATAGAATCAAGCAGAGAGAAACATATATGTATAGGCATATCCATATATAAGAAAAGATAGTTAGATACAAGCAGACAGAAACACGCACACACACAAACACACATATACACACACAAATATATATATTCATATCCTTATATTAGAAGAGATAGATAGATAGATAGATAGATAGATAGATAGATAGATAGATAGATAGCGGACTGACTAAGATCAATATATAGATATATAGATAAACAGATATTAAGTGATTCAAATACATATACATATATTCATATCCAGATAGATAGATAGATAGATAGATAGATAGATAGATCTGCAAAGTCCACAGTATCCTCCTTAAGAGGAGACTGGTAAAAAGTCATCGAAGAAACCATTGCCGAGAAAAAAAAAAGAAATAGAGAAACAAACATGTAAATTTGGGATGGTAAGTATGAAATTATTTCATGATTTAATATATATAGGGTGCGACGGGAAAATTTACGCCATTTTTTAATTTCGCGCATGATCGTTCTTTGTTTTTGATTTTGTCGACTACACAGTATAACAGGGTCTGTCGGGCACCGCCAATAAGAAAACAAGCACCATGACGCTATACACTCCTCCAGAAATTTGGAAATGGCACGTTGTATTGCTTGGCATTCGCGTCGGAAGATCCAATACAATCATTTCAGAGTGGTTGGGTGTCAACCTGAGGAAAGTGCAGAGGCTTTGGAAAGAGTTGTTTGAGTCTAATGGTGATTACGAAGGTACAGCAGCTCAGAAAACTTAAACTGATCGTTCTGATATAGAAAAGATCTCCATTTGCTGTTTGTTTTTGTTTTTGTCGACTGCACAGTATAATGATGTCTGTCAGAAAAAGAGCATTATGAGGCAATTCACTCCGGCAGAAATTTGGAAAAGCCCCGATGTATGTCTTGCATTCTTCCGAAAGCTTTAATATGAACCTTTGAGAATGTTGGGTATCAATCTGACGACAGTGCAGAGGATTCGGAAATAGCTAAACGTGTGTAATTGGTGATTACGAAGGTCCGTCAGCTCGGAAAACTCACTCTGGTCGTTCTGATACGAAAAGATTTCCTGGATTTGTTGGTGAAGGACTCAGTGGCCTTAGGGAGATAGTGCTACCCTGGGTCAAGAGGTCACTGTGAGGCACTATGTCTGGCAAAAGGATTCTGCACTATGCCACACAAGCAGGAGAACCCATTCATGGCTGTCAGACAATTTCTGCGACCACATCATACCTTACATCTGGCCATATAACTCACCAGACTGCAACACTTTTGATTTTTATGTGTGGGGCACAATTGAACGAGAGACCAACAAAACTCTTTGTAACACCAAAGATGAACTGAAAGTAAGGATTATGGCAGTATTCACAAGCTTAAACAAGGAGACCGCCCAGAAGAGTTGCACGAGATTCCGAAGTCGTCGAAGTTGATGGCGATTTTATTGAATAAATTTACTCTTTAGTAAAGATGTCAAGATATTTTTGTGTAATTTTGTTAAAATTTGATAAATATATGTTATATATATATATATATATATATATATATATATATATATATATATATATATATATTTGAACAATAAAAAATATTAAAAATTTAAAATCTTTAGACATACTGGGTTGTAGATTAATATTCTTTCGTTTTTTTTTATTCTTATTTCATTTAGATTCCTCGACTAGTTTCGGCCAAAATGGCCATCATCAGGAGAAACAATATTTCTGCTTTCTGTGATAAATTGACTGGAGTTGAGATCCCAATTCATGACCGATCACATTGCATATCCGTCTTTGGATTTTGTCGAGAACATCGAGATGAGCAGGCCATATATGGCAAAGTATTCTATGCATGGACGTATGGTAGATTTGTAGATTTGAAGAATGGGATCAGACGAGAAAAACCTTCTGGCGCAACACAGCGAACCAACTTTCCTAACGGTAGCTGTAGGTATTGATTCAATGTAGTTGTTCCACCTCTGGTACACACACACACACACACACATATATATATATATATGTGTGTGTGTGTGTGTGTATGATAAAAATATAGGTTTAAGGTATGCTTAAATTGTGATTCCGCGGTTTCTATATCATCAAGCTCATCACGACCATCAATGAAATCTGCCTTCTTCAGAATTGTTGCTAGCAGATCTTTTTGACAATGCGACACAGAAGAACACCGTCACGTAAAACGTGGTGTTAGCTCATATTTGCGCATTTAAGCAATTTCATTTAACTCTGTTACTACAATCATTTATTAATATATATTCTTCAAATAGTTTAAATTTAACATTGTTTTCAGCTATTAATAGTTATAAGGCGTTCTTGCTTTCTCCATAGACAACAGTGTACCGATGAGGAAGGAAGCTATTCTGATGGCATAGGTATTTATTTTTGGGTTAAGAATGATCTTGAAAAAAATCCCAACATACTTTACCAAGTTTTGCATGAAATAGGACTGAAGAAATTTTTTTCCAGAAAAGCAATTTCACTTAATTCAATTACTACAAATAATAACCTTTGCAAAATGGAAACTGATCTAAAGTTGGATAGAAAGCAATTAAACCACGTAACTGAATCCGCCATAAAAAATTCAGGATGTGAAATTAGTAAATACTAAACTTTTCAAATAAATTGTTGTAGGTATCAATTAGTATAGGACGGGGGTCGGCAACCTTTTACTATGTGCTTACTTAGGGTTTTAAAAGCCAACAACAGACGTATTTTTATACAAGTCAAGGTCAATAGACCTGTTCTACAATATATTTTATATGGTAATATATAGTATATAAACTTTAGTATATATTCAAATTGAAACAGATAAATATCTTTGTGTTGTAGTAGTTGTTGCTTCGAACTTCATGGTGCCATTTGCTGCTGCGTGCCATTGGAAATTGCTTAGCGTGGCACGCGTGCCGTAGGTTGCCGACTCCTGTCTAGAGAGACTGTGCAAAGAAAGGGAGAGCACCAGGTACTGTAAGACAGGGGTCGGCAACCTTTTGCTATGTGCAAACTTAGGGATTTTAAAATCAGTCAGTGTGCCAACAGCATACGTATTTTTATACAGGTCAAGGTCAATATACTTGCGGTGTGCCATTGGAAATTTCTTGGCGTGTTATAAACTGCCTTAACCTGGTATTGAACTCATACTCTTTCGGTCCTGTCACTAGATCTACC